ACTTTGGTCCTCGATATGCCACTAAATATGCTGTAAATTTATTTAATTTCTTTGGCAGTTTGAAGGAATTTGATTCCTTTTTTTTTGTAAGAAATACTTTTCGTTTAGATTTTTGTCAAACTACAAATGAAATTAGCTCGGTCAAGGTTATTCATATGTTTACATAAAAATTAGGTGCTTGCAGAAGCGGTTTTACGGGGGAGGGTGTGTGTATGGGTGTGCTTCCCCCACCCCGATCCCTAAGGTGATTTTCAAGTTATAGTCGGTTTTTGAGGAATATAGTCGGCGAGTCGGGTATTTGACAATTTTGGTCGGGTGAAATTAAGTTTTAATTGCCTTTTTTTATTATTGGAATCACTCGGTTTTTAAACTAATTAAAGATTCACCTCTCTTCCCCCACCCCACCCACACCTCTCATTTTATTCATAGAATTGTCTCTGGGTGCTGGTAAGTGTTTTTTTTGTTTACATCATTATTTTTAAAAATATATATTTTTACCACTAGTTTTGAATATATTTAATTTTGTATATATTATATATTTAACTTTTTTTATTAACTTGTCATAAAAGTTGTTAAATACCTTGAGTAAATGTAATTACGCTCACTTTGGCCTTAATTTGACCCTAAACTAAAATAGTGTTTAATTAAACATACCCTATGCAAAACTTCACTTTTTTTTGTTTGTTATAAAATGGTAAAAAGAGGAAAATAAAGAAAAATTTAACTTCTTTTTTTAACGGTTCTTTTTTGGAGAGAATATATTGCTTAAAGTTTTGCACAAAACTTATACTATTCTAACATATAACAACTAAAAATCCAGAAAAACTTTGAAAATGAATATCTCTTGAGCAGAGTTTTTTTGAGAATTTTATAAATTTAAAAAACTTATTAACATATTTTACAAAATAAAAATAAAAATTACTTGTTTATCAGTCCAATTTGTAAAACACGATCAAGGTACTCACCTCATGCCTACGTACACAATCTTGATCGATTTTATTCATACAATACTCTATTCGATTTCTTAGTTGGCAGAGATTTTTAGCTTGCTAATTGTTTGCATATACCAATCTTTTGATTTCAGTCCAAAAATCCTCGATCGGACACAATTCGGACACATTAGCAGGGTTTATTTCTCTCGGCGTATATTTGATATTTTCGCCTTTTACTTGTACTTTGCCTTGTACTTTGTTTAAATAGTGTGCAGTGTATGTACCATGAACACTTTAAATTGCAAAAAAAAAAAAAATGTATGTATGTTTGTATGTTTGTATGTATGTATGTATGTATGTATGTATGTATATATGTATGTATGTATGTATGTATGTATGTATGTATGTATGTATGTATGTATGTATGTATGTATGTATGTATGTATGTATGTATGTATGTATGTATGTATGTATGTATGTATGTATGTATGTATGTATGTATGTATGTATGTATGTATGTATGTATGTACGTAAGTATGTATGTATGTATGTATGTATGTATGTATGTATGTATGTATTTATGTATGTATGTATGTATGTATGTATGTATGTATGTATGTATGTATGTATGTATGTATGTATGTATGTATGTATGTATGTATGTATGTATGTATGTATGTATGTATGTATGTATGTATGTATGTATGTATGTACATACATACATACACTCATATACACATATATATTGTGCGACCGTGGCGCAGTGATTAGAGCACTTGCTATATACGCAGGAGATCCAGGTTCGAAACGAGCCTTCGACATATTTTCGCGTCACGGTAAGGAAGGAGGCATGAACTTCCTGGTTAAATGCACTTCCGCGGTGCTCTGTAACAAGACTGTTAGGTCTTCTTGGGGCACCTAAATAACAACAGCAAAAAAAAAAAATAATAATAAAATAAAATGTATGTATGTATCTGAATACGTGTACGTATATATGTGTGTGCGTTTGTATGTATGCATATTCATAAACCTTTATTACATAAGAGTTGCATTTATACAAAATTTACCCTTCTAGATAAAGGTATTTAAGTTCTTAGGCCATAGCAACCGCCTTAGCAACGTTTTTTTTTTCAAATATCTCTGGATTAAAACCTGATCAAGTCATCTAATTTTCACCTAAAAGGCAAAACAACATAAGTAGCTCTGATTCTTGGTGCAGATACCAAAGTGACAAAATCACAGGAGCAAAAACATATAAAGAAAAAGTTAATATTCATAAAGCTGTTTCTGATGTTATTGCTCCAATATTTTCTCACAGAGGTCTTGGTAGTGATGAACTTCTGACAAAATGTTTACACGGTGAGACCCAGATTGTCAATGAGTCTTTGAACAATTTGATATGGACACGGTGCCCAAAAAGGGTATACATTGGAATTGATGTTTTTAAAACTGCAGTTGCATCTGCTGTTATTGCATACAATGACGGTGCCCAAGGACTGCTACCAGTTTTTAATAAACTGGGCATAGACAATGGGTATTTCACTAAAGAAGGTTTTAGATTATATGATATTTGTCGTGTCAAAAAATCTAAGAAAAAGTCAACCAGCTCAATAAAACAAAGAAGAAAGAAACTTCTTTCAATTAGAAAAGGTATATGACATATGCTAGTGGAGCATTTTAATTTGGTTTTTGAGTTTTGATGTTTCATTTAATTTTATTTATTTTTTCTTTAAGGTTTTTCTTGCCTTTAATTTTTCACAATTTTTGTGGTCTTTTAACAAAGATAACTTTTGATTGGATAAAGCTACTAAGCTTAATTTTTTTTGATGTTACATTGTTCTATTTAAAGTGTTCTGAGCGAAGCACTTTTAAAATTTTTTCAAAAACATAGCTAGCAGTGCTATTTTTAAATAAACATATTTTACTTTTTTTGAAATTTGGAGTTTGGCAGTGAACCTGGCGCATTTAAAAATTTTTTTTTTTCTGTTTCGCTCAGAACATAGTATTACTAATAAAGATTGCAATTAGAAAATTAAAAGTGATTCTGATCATTTTTCATTAACTTATCCTTCTTGGAAGAAACATAAAATTAAAGCAAAAATCTGTTCATGACGTATACAATTGATGACGTCATTATTAAATTTTTATGCAAATAGTGTTAAATGTTTTTTTTAATAGTATTTTTCATTAAAATAAAGCGTATTAAATTATTTTGACTTTTTAAAAAAAAAGTGTTTTCACCCTGCTACCACCTGCTATTTTTAGCCCCACAAAACAAGAGTTTTATGAGATTATTTAAATATGAGAGATATTAAGTTAAAAAATACCTATTACAAACTAATATACAAAATGTACAATTTGTACTGACCCTACCTTCCGTACCGCAAAGTGGTAAACAGGATGGGGGAGGAAATTAAAAAAAAAATAAAAACTGTAACTAGATTAAAAATCAAAGAATTGTGAAAAACTTTCAACAAGACACAAATTCGTTTTGAGAAAAAATGTAAGGTAAAAATAAGATTTAATAAATTTTTTTGTTTATAATCTAAATCATCCAACAACAATATAGTCGTAGATATAGAAAATAAAGTAGAAAAATTCAGTGGAAATATCAAATAATAATTATTAAATGAAGATTACTTGACCATATATTTTGATTTTGAGAAAGTGAAATTTATCTGAAAATCGCAGACAAAAGTCGCATGAGACAGTCTATGTAATTTCGTTGCAAGTACCTTTAAGCAAGTAATTTAAAACTATAACAAAAGAAATGTCTAAGTTTTAACAGCGGTTCTCTGTGACAAGACCTTGTGGTCTTCTTAAAGTGTCCGCGTTCTTTATATTTATCCTTAACTTTTTCAATTGTAATTTTTTCTTTTATATTGGTATCTTAAACATTTGCATTTTAAATCATCTAGTGAAGAACAAAAAATAAAAAAAGCTACAAAGTTTGTCCGGATTTTTAGATGTAATATGTTATATGCTCAAGAAGACTTAATCACGTCTTTTACGTCTAAAGCATGTGTTTTGTTTAATGGGTAATTCCAACTTCATTTGTTTCCGATTTCCGGTACGGCAGACACAATGTTTGTGTTTTTTTTTAAGTACTTTTTTGAAAAATGGAAAGTCCAACATTTTATTTGATGTTCCATAAGTAAAAACAAAACAGCAAATGTTTTCTCCTTATAATTACCTAATGATCTTAAAAGTTTACTTCCACAACTTTCGTAAAATTTCTACAGATGTTTAAACCACAGTAATGATGTGAAAAATTTTGAGACAACTGTTTATTATAATGCTTGATGTAAGTAAGTTTTAGAGTATTATGGTTTAAATTTTTTATCTATGTTCGTATTACAATGTTTATAATCAATAATTAATTTTTAAACAATAAGCTTCTCCCGTGCTTTTTACAATTTATAGTTATTATTTTATTATTATTGTATATATTATTTTCTTGAGTAAATATTAAATATTTCAATAGATATATTAAATTAAAGTTCTTGTTAATTTTATTTTTATAAAAAAGTTCAGAAAAATTATTTAAAAAAATAACTTTTGTAATATATGTAAAAAAAGCTTGTAAAATTCTATTGATTTTTTAAAATTAGCATTAATATGCTAATCTATAATGCCACTGCATGAAATGAAATACCAGCATTGTATCCACAGATACCACTTTGCTTTGTATTATCGTGCCCAATTTTAAAATAATTTAAGCTACTATAATCTATTATTGAAAGTTCATGGTTCATTTAACAGATCTACCGTATATAGTAAATAAAAAATCACTAATACTATAATGATTTTCTTTTTATTCTCCTTTAAATAAAAAGACTTTAGAAGCTTTGAATTCTCAATTATGAATTCTGTACTTATTTAGCGAAGAGCTTTAAAAACCATTGTATACTTAATAATGAACTGGTTTTTATTGACTATATTTGAATACAAAACAAAAAAGCGTGATATTGCAAATAAAAAATAAAATTTTGAATAAATATTTAGAGCATGGTAAAGAAGTTTTTATAATTAATAAGTTAAAGAGCATTAACAAAAAATATTCAAATAGCATAGTAAAAGATGTAAAAGTTTTTAACAATAAGTAATGAGAACCATGACGGAAGCAAATATTCATAACAAATTTTTGAGATGATAATCCGATGCTCTTTTAACAACAATCAGCAACGCAAGTTATTGTCAGTCAATTTATTTTCTTGAAAGCGGTTTGTGGTAAAAAGGTGTGTAACATTTTTAAAATATAAACTTTTTAAAGGAATAATTTTTTTTTTTTTGTGTTATTTTCTTTTTAAACTATACACTTTCAGATTATGTTTTACAAAACAAGTAAATATAATGTAAGAATTTGTAGTTTTGATGTAAAATAAATAAATTATATGCTGCTATAACTAATCTAAAACTAATATTTTATGAAGTTTGTGTTTCATTCGAAAGTGAAGTTTAACTAAAGTCAGAACTTTCACCAATTGTGCACATTTTGTGCAACCAGGCACAGAAATGCAAGGTTGCACAAAAAGTGCACAATTGGTGCACTTTTTGTGCAACCTTGCATTTCTAACACATGATTCAATATTCTGTGGGCGGATACTTTTCTTCGCAAATTAAATAACAAAATTTTGTATCACCTCGAGCGCTCTTTTTTCAGAGTATCACCTCAAGCACTCTTTTTTCAGAGTATCACCTCGAGCACTCTTTTTTTCTTTACATAAAGTAAAGTAAAAAAGAGTGCTCAATCAATCAATTAGAGGTAAATTATCTCTAATTGATTAAAGTTCTCTTTTTCTTTTTACATTTATTTTTTACTTCTTGTTTCTTCCTATCTTTCTTTTTTTTCTTAAATACTTTTCATCGACGAACTAGTAATAATGTTAGAGTTTTTCTTTCTTAAACATTCTCAGTTTTTCTTTTTTTGGCAAGTTAGGTGCGGAGATTATATTCAAACAATTTATCTGTTAAAATTATATATGAAAAAAGTTAGAAACAATAAATTTCTGGCCGCTTTACGACATTGTGATGACACTTTTGACGTTCGAAATTACCTCACTAAGATCGTTCGTTATTTTTCCACGAACACAAACAATTGAAATACATTTAACCTCTTGAGCATATCTAAAATATAATATGTGTTTTAAAAACTCTTTCATTATAATACTATGCAACAACAATAATAAAAGGAGTGGTTTTATATCCATAGTTGCTACAACAGGAATGTTTCTCAAGAAAAAAGTTGCACGATATTAAGTGCATGAGAACTTTAAGATCAATTTATTATGAACAACAATCGCAGTTTTATTGCACAACTGCACGTCTGAAACTGAGCATGGGATCCCCTCTCAGCAGGTAAAAAGAAACTATCAAATATTTTTTTCTATTATGCCGTTTTGACCATTTGACCATGTTTAGTGTTACCTCGCGTTCGCCATTACCCTACTCTCCCCTATATATAGATATATATATGTATATATATATATATATACATATATATATATATATATATATATATATATATATATATATATATATATATATATATATATATATATATATATATATATATATATATATGTATATATATATATATATATAGAGAGAGAGAGAGAGAGAGAGAAAGAGAGAGAGAGAGAGAGAGAGAGAGAAGAGAGAGAGAGAGAGAGAGAGAGAGGAGAGCGGGGTTGCTTGTCACAAAGTTTATTACGGGAAATGTTGTTAAGGTTTAGAACTTTAAAATCATATAATGGACATTTTCACTGTAATTTTCTGCTTTTTTAGCATGTAGAGTATCATCTTTTGTAGCTTCAGAATACCATCTTCTAGAGATGATCTAAATTTGTGACAGTTACCACTTGCTAAAAATCCACGCTCCGTATTGAAACTTATTGGCATCACAGTTTTCAAGTAATGGTAGGAATTTTGCAAATATATACAACGATTTCTTCCTTCAAAAACTGTCATTTCAATACATATAATTTTTGATGAATTATTCAAAACATTCAATCTTCTCTTGTTGTTACATTTCTTATTTTTCAAATTTGTAAAGTCAAGCTTTTCTTTCAATGACAAGTATACAGCGTTGTCCACAGAATCACTATCGGAAAAAACGCTGGTGGAAGGGAAAGGGCTATACGCTTTCTGTGTGAGCCGATTTTTCAGTCGAGCAATGGTATTTACAATGGGTAATTTGCTATGGTGCTCAAAAGATAGAGCTGAATCAAAATTCTGGTAACGTTGATGGCCCTTGTGCAGAAAATATTGTATGGTGGAAAAAGAGTACGTTGCTCATTGAATCGTCGCACCATTATAACTTTACAGCTAAATCGGTTTTTCCAAGGTTATCTATCACGAAAATTTGTTACTGGCTCACAACATTGTTGCATAATTTCGGAACAATGTTTCCACAGCCAGTTTTACTAGCGCAAGGCATAAATTAACAGCTAATATTGCATCGAACTCCATATTAGTTACCTCAACTTTGGACTCAAGGGCAATTACAGTGACTCGCGAATGCAATTTTTCAATTTTACAAAATGTTTGAGTACTCTGTGCAAGCTAATCCTGCGAGTTTTTAAGCCAAGTATTAGTGGAAGGTCTTTATCAAATTTTTTTAACGTGTGTTTTTGAATTTTGATCATTTTTTGTCGGAGAACGGCGAAATAATTTCACAACGGTGCGTAGCTTTTTGATTAACGGCTGCAAATCATCAGTCAGTTCAATAGAGTCATTCTCTTCACTCATTACAACTTTTTGTAATGAGTGAAGAGAAAACTTATTATTTTCTCGAGCCCAAACTCTTTAACGAAGATGATTTTGTAATCTCATTACAAGATAAATAAGCCCGGTGGAAAATGAGCTAGCAACTAGCCAGCAAAAAGCTAGCTAGTCGCTACGTATGGATAAAAGACGCGTTTAAGACGTTTAAAATACGTTTAATACTGGTTTTAGATGTTTTAAACACGTTTTTTTGTTATCTAGCTATCTTTTTCCCACTGGAAGCGTTGTTTTATTGCGTATTTCATTTACTTTCGTGTTTCACGTAAAGAGGGCGATAGCACCTGCTATATCATAAGCCCTCTACATATATTTTTAATACCGGTATTGAGGCAAACCAATACCGGTAACTCGGTACTTAAAAATGTCTGGTAATACCGGTATTCCGATACCGGGACTACCGGTATTGGAAGCATTAATATAAACAAATTTTGTTAGTACTAATTTTAAATACAATCAAAACATACCAAAAAATGTGACAAACAATATTTCACTCAATGTCATAGAAATATTGTAATAGTAACTGGAAATCAATAAATTACTTTCGTGCAATGTTTCGCATTGATTTGATGAAAAATAAAAGTTGTGATAATCAACCCCACTCTTCCCTATATATATATATATATATATATATATATATATATATATATATATATATATATATATATATATATATATATATATATATATATATATATAGAGAGAGAAGAAAAGAGCTTTATCTTATAGTTCCAGACAAGGAGGGCAGGGGGGAGAGAGAAAATAAGTTACAAAACTATATCATCCCACCTTGTAATGGATATAAATTTAGAATCTGGTTAAACTATCCGTGGGAGAAAATCCGATTATTAATTTCGCAAAAAGTTTAAATCTAACGTTGTAAAACTTTTGAAAAATTTTTTTATTCCTTTTACTTTCAAAAACGCTTAATTATTGCTAGCTTTGCATAATTAATGCAATTGCCATGCATATTCATTGCTGACAGGCGTTAAAAAAAGTCTGTTAGAAAAGATTAAAAAAAACTTTTTTGAATTTTTTAGTTTTAGAAAAAAACGGGAATCTTTTTTCTGCATTTCTTTGATAAAAAAACAAACTTCTTTTTTTTACATATTAAAGTTCCGGAAATAACTTCGAAAAATCAAACGTTTTCAAAAAATCAAACGTTTTTTAAATAGCTTTATGAATGAGAAAGTTCAACAAATTTTGATAAAACCAATTAACTTTAATTATCGAAGAGTTCCAACTAACATTTGTTGATATTTCAGTTCCGATCTTCAGAGACTTAAAAAATAAACGCCTTAAACTCAGCCACAACATTTTGACTTCTTAACTATCAAAGTCCGCCATGTAACAAAAAATTCTGTTTGTGACTGTTTAATTTGTTAGGAATTTGGCAACTTCCGCTTTTATACCAATTTATCACCAATTTTTGGCTAAAGATTCTGGCGTTAAATGTTCGTTTCTGGTTGCCATTTCTAAAGATTTCCTGGAAAATAATTGCAACGTTTTGGATTCGTTGAGCTTCAAATAACCTTCATTTTATTCAACATAAATTAGCGGTTTACAAGTGATAAACTCTCATTCAAGTAATAGAAAAAACTAAATTTATTTTATTTGACAAACATAGTAAAGTTAAGAATGTTCCTCTAAAATTACCTAATTTTCTTAATAATGAAACAATCAACCGTTAATTTTCAAGGAATAATTTTAGATAAAAATCTCTTTAGACGAAAGCCTCATATAAATTAAATTTGAAGTAAAATCTCGAAAAACATCCCAGTCAGCAATATGATCGGGTACCGCGTGGAACCCGTACGGATGTCAAACGGGAGCCGTACGGGATTTGGCCGCGGGATCTATATGGATACCATACAGGCCAAATAAAACAAAACAAAAAATAATTGGCTGCTTTTTCATTTTTCTGGATTGACCCGTATGGTATTGACCATTTTGTATTGACATTGGTATTGACATTTGTATTGACATTAGTATTTGTATTGGTATTTGGTATTTGTACTGACATTGGTATTGACATTGGTATTGACATTGGTATTTATATTGATATTTATATTGGTATTTGGTAATTGGTATTTGTATTGTTATTTGTAATGGTATTTGTATGGACATTGGTATTGAGATTGGTATTGACATTGGTATTTGTATTGGTATTTATATTGGTATTTGGTAACTGGTATTTGTATTGTTATTTGTAATGGTATTTGTGTTGACATTGGTATTGAGATTGGTATTGACATTGGTATTTGTATTGGTATTTGGTAATTGGTATTTGTATTGTTATTTGTAATGGTATTTGTATTGACATTGGTATTGAGATTGGTATTGACATTGATGTTGACATGATATTGATATATTTTCCCGTATTAATCCGTATGGTATATGGTATATTGACCCGTATTATACCCATATAAATCACGCGGCCAAATCCCGTCCGGTTCTCGTTTGACATTCCGTACGGGTCCCACACGTTACCCGCATCACAATGCTGGCTGGGGTTTTCATATTATATAGTCTAACCACATTTTTAATGTGCAACTAAATTTCTTAATATTGCATCTTAGGAAAAAGTATACTTTTTGTTTATTAGCAATTTTATCTCTTACTGTTATATTGATTCGGTAAATAATAATTATGGCAAGAAAAAGAACGTTTTAGTAAGCAAAACTATGCCTGGTACTAATTATATTTGGTACACACAGAACTGTCAAAACTACAAATCTCTGGCAAGACTTACATGCCTTTAATCTTTATATGCACCAAGTTTCTCCTAATATATATCAGTCTTTACCGAAACCTCTCATGAATATCGAGAGATTTCACTAAAGTAAAAAGTACATAATTTTAAACAAACAATTTTGTTGTTACTAGAACCAATTCAAAGCTAAGTTTTTGCCAAATCCAGTTTCGTCGAACCTTTTTACAAAAACATTTTTCAAAATTTACTACTAATAAAAATTACTGTTTTAGAAAGAATCCAAGAGTCTCAATACAAAAAGACTTTGATATAAACCTTTTATTAAAATAAATGCATAATTAATATAACTTTTCTAAAATATAGTTATTGACATTATTTCTAATTTTTTTGCAATTTTATTTCAATTTAATTTATTTTTTATTTTTTGTTAATTATTATACTTTTAATATTGTTGCTAGTCTGTAATTTATTGCGTTATATTTTTTTATGTTTTTTTTTTAATTACTCACTGAACTGAATAAACTATCACAAGCTGTAATCAAATGTTGTTTTTTCAAAAATGACCGATGTACAATCATTGAATATTACTTGGTTTTCAAATTTCAACTTTTTATTTCATCAAATAACCTTTTGATCTAGTAAATTTATTAATTCATTTTTAATTATTTTTCCACTATAATAAAATGTAATACAAATTGATAAATGGTTTGTGTAGCTGAAAACCATTTTATTTGTAGCTAAATACAGAGTTAGATTCATCAATCAGAGAAAAACATTTTATTATCGTGAACTCTTTTTATTTACAAGTCTTTTTATCCAAAAAAAAAAATTTTATTTTTACGAATTTTCTATTACAACAAAAGCTAGAAAAATGTCAACCATTAACAGGGACGGGTTTTGTCACTCGCCAAGGAGGGAGCTAAAAAGGTTTAAAAAAAAAAAAGAAAAGGTCCGCATATTTTCATTTATAAGTAATTTTCTTTTTTAATTTTTTGTACTTTAGTGTAATAATCAATTTCATATACGTATAATTACATATAATAGTCAATTTTATTGGTCAGTATAACAGTCCAACTCTGTATAATAGTCAATTTACAAAAGAATATTTCTGAAAAAAGTTTTAAAGATAAGGATGGGGGGGGGGGCTACCAGCCCAATGCCCTCCCCCTCCTAAAACCCGCCACTGATTTTTAAGGTATTTACCTATCATAATTTAAAAAAGATTAAAAAGATTAACTTAAAAAATACAAAATATTTTTAGATTAGTTCGCCCAACAATTTATTTGGTTCTCGTATCATTTAATTATTGATTCAATTTCAATAATTTATGCCATTTTCATCATTGTTTTATTATGTATTATATTATAAAACCAATCATATTATCATTATATTAAAAAACCAATAATAAATTTTTAAATTAGCAATTATGATTATTGATCTTCATTGGTGTTCACAAAACTTGATAATCTATAAATTTTCATTCATTGAGATTTTTTCATCTAGGTTTTTAGTGTGACGTCAACTTAAAAATGACTTTAATCCACATAACGTTGTTATGGCTACTTGTAACTACAAAGTATTAAACAACATTAATTTATTTAATTGTTTAATTTTTTTTTACTTGATTAAATTTTTATAGTTTAAAATGGCCAACATCAATGAAGATGAAATTGACGATATTAGAGAAAAGTTTGACCTTTTTGATAAGATTGGGGACGGAAAAATTTCAGATGTTCAAATTATTGATGTTCTTCGGGCGTGCGGCTTAAACCCACTTACTAATGATGTCGAAAAGGTATTATACTGTTCACTTGATAAGACTATTTGATACTTTTGTTTATATTGGCTAAATTTTATTTTAGATTTCTATAATTTTAGATCAAGAAAGATTCATCCTTGGTTGGAAAACGTATTGACTTAGAAACTTTTTGTCCAATTTATGAACAAATAGCAAGTATGTCTGGTCAAGCAACGTATGAAGATATGGTTGAAGCTTTTAAAACCTTTGACCGCGACCAGACAGGAACAATTTCAGCTGGTGAATTGCGTCAGTTGCTTGTAAATTTAGGTGATACATTAACAGAAGAGCAAGCGGACGTAATTGTTCAACCACACGAAGATGAAAAAGGTGCGGTTTCTTACCACCAAATAATTAAACACCTCATGGCGTCATAATTAGTATACTTGTTGTAATTATATGTTTAAGTTGATAGTTCATTTAATTTACTTTTTATTGTTAAAAAAATTAGTTTGCAAAAAAGTGTTGAAAAATTTTTAAGAAAAGTAAAAACACCCTTTACAATAATAAACTAAGTGTTTTTTTTTTTTTTTTTTTCAATGTTGATTTTAGGTGCCCCAAGAAGTCCTTGCGGTCTTATCACAGAGGACGGATTAATAGGAAGTTCACACCTCCTTTCCAACCAATGTCGCAAAATTTGCCCAGAGGTGGGGTTTGAACCACGGATCTTGCAAGTGTGCTACCACTGCGCCACGGCTGCTTTAATTATTAACTAGACTGTAAGCATAAAAGACTAGGCTTTAAGCATAAAAAGCTAGATAAAGATGCATAAAAGACTAGGTTAGAAAGCATAAATGACTGGACTGGAAGCATAAAAAGACTAGAAACCATAAAAGACCAAACTAAGGAAGCACAAAGTATCTTTTGCGCTGTTAAGTCGTATTACTCAACAAACAAAATCTAGATGTAATTTCGTATGAAAAATATTCCTAGCAATTGCGAATTAGTAAATTTATATTTTTAGAATTAAATGTGAAATAGTAATTAAAACCAGTTATTAAATTTATAAATTTGTTAACAATTTAGTTGGCCCTAACAAGTTTGTTATTTTTGATTGAAAGAGGCATTAGAGTTGATTAAACCAACGTTGACGTCATGCACATTTCACTAGTTTTGTATTTCGCTGGTGGCATTGTTAATTTCCTCATCTTATTGAGACCAAATATTAAAATCTTCAAAAATAGGTTCAACTCTAACTAAAGGCTCATAACCTGTAATTACGAACCAGTAATTAAAAAAAGATACGAAGGATAATATATGAGAAATAAAAATATTAAAAAAAGATACGAAGGATAATATATAAGAAATAAAAAAAAAAAAAAAAAGATGCAAAGGATAATATATAAGAAATAAAAAAATTAAAAAAAGATACGAAGGATAATATATAAGAAATGAAAAAATTAAACTGATAGCACGATAGACAAGTTGACAGAAAATGAGAAATACACTTTTTTTCTATCAGTTAATTTTTACAATTAGTGATCAATTAGTCGAATTTGATCGAGCTCGATCAATTAGCTGAAAGTGATCGAGCTCAAAAGACAGTAAGTTAAAAATACATTTTTTTCTATTAGTTAATTTTTGGTATTGTGGTTTATCCTCCTCCGGCTAATTGCCATATAGAGGCCACATTACCAAGGCATGTAAAGACAAGTTCAAGTCCCAAAAGGGGCGTCATAACCCGCTTTACGGTCCAAGAATAAGGTGAGTTTGGGAAGAACAAAGATATGTAAGAGTAAAAGACAGAAGTAGTCGAGTTAAAAAGATAGCATAGAGAAAGCAGACAGAAATTGGACACGTTGTTAGAAAGTGCAAACGCAATAAGCATGAATTACCATTGCCTATTACATCAATTAGTTAATATTTACAATTAGTGGAAATTTATCAATACTTTATAATAGTTTCCTGTTCAATATACTAGACATGCTTCAAGATTACTTGTGGCGCAACAATGTTTTACAAAAAAATGTACTCAATCCATCACTTATTTGTGCCTCTCTTGTCTAAAGTGTGCTTGCAAACTCTAATTCCAAGTTTGATTTCTGATTCTACCTTCAAGATTTCAAGTTTTTTTAACCAGTTCTTAAATACAACTTCCTCTATGCAGTTTTTTTCTTTCTTTCTCAAAATCAGAACTAAGCCAGTCGTAATTACAGTTTATTAGTAGTTCAACATTGCATTTTTACTATAATTTAATTTTCTATTAAAAAAGGTAGTTTTTATTTAAAGAAAAATTCATCGTTGATTCCCAATACCAAAACAGATTTTCAAGTTTTCTTTATATCTTTTAAAAACTATACTATATCAAGGCCTTAACATTCAATTTTAGTAAAGAAAGTTAGTTTCAGGAATATCTCATGCGTTAAGGAGATTAAAAACTCGTTGAGGAGATTAAAAAAATCAAGCTGCGACGCATTTTAGAAATAAAAAGAAAATATCAGTTTAATATGAAATATATGAATCTTACAATTACTTTTAATCTAATTATTATTATTATATTATAGTTGTAGCCGTAAAATATACATACCATATATACATACATCGAGCAAGGAAAACACCTTACTATAAACAACCAGTTTTATAAATATTCGTTCCGAATTTTATTCTCAACCAGTGATCTAATCTAATTTTCTAAGAAAGTACAGTTGAGTATAAATTACTTGCTCGGGTAGTTCATTCCAGTAATGCCACTAGTAATAATTATTTGAGTATTTTATTTTCTCTAAATTAGTATTGTATTTTCTTATTTTTGAGAAAATATTAAAAACTGCCTAAAATACTAATTGTCTTTGGATGATACGTACAAAACTGTACCTATGTTACACAACGCCCTTTTTTTGCGGGTGGGTTTACAAATTTAGGGAACCCCTTTTGCAAATTTATGGATCTTTTTCATTTCTGATACCTAGTGGAAAGTCTTCTAAGTTTTAAAACCCCAAATGACAAGGTTTTTTTTTGCAAAGGGTACCAACCCACTACCTACGGCTCGGATATGCCGATAACATTATGTCGTTTAAAGACAACTATACTTCTCTTGAACAAAGGGTCTTCAATAATGTACGTACGCAGGTTTGGGGAGAGGAGATTACTCAAAAATGTTCGAATGCGAAGAAGGATGAGGGGGGAGGGAGGGGTAAAGGCATAAAATACGTAAGCGGTTTGACTATATCAGGTTTTTCTATCTCTCCTAAAACTAAAAATTTCCTTTTTACTTAACAAAAGCATCGAGTTTCATAAGTGTTCAAAAAAGCATTGTTATGAAAAAGAAAAATGTCATCTAAAATATTATACTAGCTCTGTTTTATGTAAGTTATGTAGTATATCGCAAGGTGTACCTCAAAATAATCTTTGTCTACCATATTGGAAACTAAGTTATAATCAAAAAAGTTGCGGATAAAACAAAAATTATAAAAATATTTTTATATGCCGTTTCCTAAAGTTTTTATCATTTAAATAGTTTTATCTCAAAACTCTAAAATGTGGAGATTGATGAACAAAATATATCTAACCTCACTATATGTTGTATATAGTATATGTTATATGTTTTATATATCATATATGTTATATTTATGTTACAAAATATATGTTACAATAAACACATTTATGTTATATTTAATATATATGTATATATGTTATATATTTTATATATCATATATGTTATATTTATGTTACAAATATATGTTACAATAATCACATATATGTTATATTTAAGATATATGTTAAACGCCCTACGGCGTTTTTATTATATATTATTCGGAGTGTCTAATCGCACGTTTTCTCGAGTGAATAGACTATATTTAATTATAGTCTATTCGCACCTTTAATTAAAAAAAGGTAAAGGTCATCGAATTTAAAGGGAATTCAAAAAAAATTAGATTTATTATTATTGGTTTTAACTTTAAAGTTAAACTAGCGTAGTGGAGTACAAACGCAGTACTTACGTTGACTGATTTTTGAAGGTTATGCGCACTAGAGTTGACTTTTTTTTCAAAAAGCTTAAAGCCTTTTAGCATGGATTTCAGTATTTCAGCCAAGTTATTAAATTCGTTTTCGTTGTACAGTTGATCTGTAAACCAATGGTCTGTCCAGCCATACGATATAAATAGACATACTCTCTGCAGAACTGTCCTTGTTGAAGGAACTAAAATGAAGGCCAGGATTGCTATTATAGCTCTAGAGTTCCACCTCATATTGCTGATGTTGGGTATTTTCTGAAGCCTGATCAATGGAAAATGTCCCTTTTCCTCAAAAATTGGAATACTTGAGCGTGATAAAACAAAAGTTTCATATCATCTTATCTCTCCAGCTTAATATTTCGAGAATTACTTCTGTTCCGTTATCAAACTGTGTTTTCAGTTGTTCGTACTCCTTCAACAGTTGAGATACAAATGGATATTTGATGTTTGGCAATTGTTTTACTTCCAAGTTCTTTATCCATCACCAAACGGAGAATTCTATCTAATACATGGTGTTGACAACAAATAAACTGAGGTTTGTTGATGCGTTTCTCTGTGAACATTCGTTGCAATATTACAACAACACGATTCTTATTTCCAGTGTCAACGCTGGTAATATCTGCAACAATCATCTGTATTGAATTCCATTGGCAAAATTCATCGAGACTTGAGCAATAGTTAAAGCCCTGCCATCTACCAAGTCAAGGACAACCAATTTGATTTCTCTTCTTATATTTTTAAGGACAACCACTAGATAATCCATTCTGTTGATGTGCTTACCATCTAAGTGTAAGGACCAACTTTCCATATGCAACTTTTCAATCATTTCTTCCTTCAGCTTGATTGCCTCTTTGATTGTTGACTTGTAAATAGCTGATTGACATGGAGTTGGCATGTCAATGCCTTCACGAGCCAATTGCTTGCATATGTTAGCAGCTTTGTTTGTTGATACTCTTGTGGAGGTCACCAAGTTGACTGCAATTTTGCTTTTATGGAGTTTTTTGCTTAGTGTAGGAGTTGTCTCATCTTCTTCATTGTTTTCATATTCACTTTTGTCCGCCTCAGAGTCAGAATCACTAAAACCAGGATTGTAAAATGATGAGTTGGATGACTTATTAGAAAGTTTTTCTCTTTTAGAAGGATGGATCGTTTCTTTACTGGCCGCTTGGCCTGTAGAGTATCCGATTGTTCTTTTGCTTTCCACTTGGAGATGGTACAATCGCTTGTCCTCGGAAAATAACCATGTTCCATTCACTTTAGTAATACCAAAAATTTCATTAAGGGGTTTGTAGCTTCCCCGCTTGACACATTCATTATAACATTTCAGTATTTTATCAAGCTTTGCTCGTATAACTTGATCGGATAGATGAGGAAAATTTAGTTTATTCTTCCACAATTTGGTGACTTCTTTGGAAATTTTCACTATTCGCTACATTCTTCCTTTGATTTTTGGTCCCTGAAAATGAAA